ATTTTGTCTACCATTCTCCAGCGGAGAAACAATAAATTCTTAGCTGGATTTTATAGCAAAAAACTTGCACAGAATCATCTGAGGAAAGGAATGAAGCTGGCTGTGACATAAACAGCAAGAAATCTCATCAGAAGTCAACGTTCAATCTCATATTGGGCTTGGCTCAATAATTCTTTCTGTCTCTCCTTCAGCACTGGGCTGTAAGCTCTTGGCTTTGTAAATTGCTGTTATTGCTCTACCAATGAAACTGCTTTGAGGTATTTGGCTGTAGTTTATTGTTTTGTTTTTTTTATAGACAGGGTCTCACTCTGTTAATCTACATGGCCCGGAACTCACTGTGTAGACCATGCCGTCCTGGGACTCACAGGATCAGCCGGCCTCTGCCTCCCCAGTGCTGCAATTATGGGTGTGGGCTGCTGCTACAGCAGACCAGTCCTTACCTTTGTGAAACAGACTGTGTGTATGTAGTTCAGACTGGCATTCTGCTTGTGAATCTCCTGGTGAGCCTACTAAGTGCTGGGGTTGCAGGAGATTTGCGGGTATTTTTGGTTTTGTTTTTTCTCTTTTTCCTTGTTTTTGGGTCTTTTTTTTTTTTTAGCATCGTATGATGGCATCATTATAATTCTTTAGTTTAAGCCTTGGCATCAAAATTTTTGGAAGCCTCTCTTCTAGCATTAATCTGGCACCAGAGAGGGTCCCAAATTTCAAAACATCTTTCAAACTGAAGCCCAACATAATGTAGAGTTTATGTTTCAAAATTCTCTCACATTGCTATTCCATGACACAGAAAGTGTAACACACTGTTGAGCTGGTAGTATGACTCAAAGGGTAAAAGTGCCCTCTGTACCAGCCTGACTACCTGCGTTCCATCCCTGCATCCCATGCTCAGGTGGAGAGACACAGAACCCACTCCACAAGCTGTCATCTGATTTCCACAAAATCGTTATGGCTTGTGCACCTGCACCCACCCACATGGCTACACAATAATTTTTTATTTAAAAGTGTTACATATTAAGTACTATAAATATGAAAGCTCTAGATCATTATGGTCTCCTGATGGCATAGGTGTTGTCAACCTGCTAACTGCAACTGGCATCAGAACAGTACCGTGTGTACATTCTTGTGGGTTTTTTTTTGTTGTTGTTGTTGTTTTTCGAGAGAGGGTTTGTAGCTTTGAAGCCTGTCCCGGTACTCGTTCTGTAGACCAGGCTGGCCTCGAACTCATAGAGATCCACCTGTCTCTGCCTGGGTGCTGGGATTATAGGCGAGCGCCACCACCGCCGGCTCAGTCCCACTTCTTTTAAGCCCAGCATTTGTAATTGATTACATGGACCATCTGTAACTGCTTGTGAATCATGTTACGGTTACCCCACTGACATTTACCCAACATTTTTCATGTGGCAAAATGTTTAGTGTAGGAAAGCTGACACATAATAGCTTTGATGTTCCAATAAATCAACTTTCGATACTAGGCTATGAGGCGCATCCCATGGATGTGGAGTCTCCGCAAAATTATGGCTGACGATTTCATTATAATAACGCTCCATCCTAAGCTTTCTGTGTGCGGACAAAATTATTTGTTATCACCAAGGTAAGTTGGCCCTGCTGCTATCAGAAGACAGGACGGAGGGGGTGAGCGGTCCAAAGAGGTGAGGGCAGAAGTGGGGGGTTAAGAGTCAGTCTACCAGGGAAGTGGTTCACCGAGCAAAGGCCGATCTGAGCCACCTGTCACAAAGGAGGAGCTAGAGGGGACCCGAGATCTGCGGAGAGGAGAGGAATGGCCGGGCTGAAGGCGAGCTGCGAGGCCCAGGCTATCAGCCAGGGGCCAGGCTAGACCCGGAGGAGAGCTCACGTGGTCGCCCGAACCCCGAGGGGAATCGGTTGGGGGGGCTGCGGTGGGGAGGACGCGAGCTCGCCCCTCCCAGCCACTCGGCTCCTCCCTCCGGGCACGTGACGCCTCCGTCGTCCCGCTCGGCGGAGGTGGCGCAGCGCTCTGTTTCTGCCCTCCCGCCGCTGCGCCCTTCTTCTCCCCGGTCCCGTCCCGCCGCCTCCCCCACTCTTCCCCCGCTACCCCGCACGCGCCAATCAGCGTTCGAGATCGCGAGCGCCCGCCCCCACCCCGCTGCGCCCTCTCCCATTGGCTGGAACCTCAAGGACGCGTCCCGAAGGCGGGCGGCAACCATTGGTGGGCCGAGCCAGCCGAGTTCCCGGATGAGGGAACATTCTGCGGTATAAAGGGCGCGAGGAAGGCGGGAGACGGCGCAGTTTGAATCGCGGTCCGACGGAGGAGTGGGCGCCGGGATCTCGCTGCGCGTCCGCCTGGCCTCGACTCTTTCTCGCTTGTCCGATCTTCAGCACGGTCCGAGATGGTAACGTGAGAGTGGACGCCGGGCGGCCACGAGCCGCGGGCTTCGAGCGGGCGGGGCCGCCGTCCCCGGGGCTCGGGGCGAGGCGGCGGCGAGTAGGGAGCGTGCGGAGACGGGGTCGGGACGAGCGGAGGGAGGTGTTTTGTGAGCCCGGAGCTCCGGGCGGGAGGCGACGGTTGGGTGGCGCGCGCGACGCCGCTAGGAGCCGGCGCGGGGGCGCGCAGCCGCTGCCGCCGGGGGCGCGCGGCGGGGGTCGGCGGGGGAGAGGGCGGGGGCGAGCGGCGGCCCGGAGACCCCGGCGGGCGGCAGCGAGCGCGCGCTGGCCCCCGGGACGCGCCGCCGTGGGGGAGGGGCGCGCCGCCTTGGTAATTCTATCCTCTCCCGTCCCTCCCGGGCTCGCGGGCGTCGGCGGCGCCGCAGGCTGGCGGTAAGGCTGGAAAAGACTCCGGAAAGGCCAAGACAAAGGCGGTTTCCCGCTCGCAGCGAGCCGGCTTGCAGGTAGGTAGCCGCTGCCGCAGCCGCTGTCGGGGTGACCCGGCCTTTATCTCTGCACCCCCTTGCTTGTTTGTCGGCGCCTTGCATGGGTGTTCCATCTTTGCGTGGGTGATGTGTCGCGACTTGGCCTGCAGAGACTGAATATTGGGGCGTTTGGGGGGGGGGCGTCGATCGCGCGTGTTACTGCCAGGGCGCGATGGTGCACCACCGTCCTTGGCTTTGGCGCGCACATCATCTTTCCGTCTTTGATCTTTGTGCATTTTGTTTGTGTGCATAAAAAAATCAAGTTCCCTGTGGGCCGTATTCATCGACACCTGAAATCTAGGACAACCAGCCACGGACGTGTGGGCGCGACCGCCGCTGTGTACAGCGCAGCCATCCTGGAGTACCTCACCGCAGAGGTAAACGGGAGTGTACGCCTGTGAGCTGGAAAAGGTTTGGGGGGCGGGGGAAAGTGGCGAGAGGGAAGAAGGAAAGTGATGCAAGAAAACTCCCAGGCCTTGAGCGCGGCGCGGAGGCTGAGCGGGCACTAGAGGGAGCTAATGTTCAGCCAAGGATTCTGCTGAGCCGGAGTTTGCTGCTCTTGCAAAAGCAATTGCGTGCCCCTTCAATTCTTTGCATAATTTGCATAATTTTGTCATTCAGGTAGTGGGGAGGGGATGACGACAGTTAGTAGATTAAAAACGCCGCTGAGGTTTGGCCAGCTTCATGGATCTCGACTGAAGAGAAGTTGGGAGATTGATCATAATTTTGCCTTTTAGGTACTAGAATTGGCAGGAAATGCATCAAAAGATTTAAAGGTAAAGCGCATTACCCCACGTCACTTGCAGCTCGCTATTCGTGGAGATGAAGAATTGGACTCTCTGATCAAGGCTACAATTGCTGGTGGTGGTGTCTTCCCGCACATCCACAAGTCTCTGATTGGGAAGAAGGGACAACAGAAGACCTTTTAAGGATGCCTGGATTCCTACTATCTCAGGACTCTTGTTCTTAACAGCTGTCCAGTGTTGGTGATTCCAGTGGACTGATCTCTGTGAAAAACACAATTTTGCCTTTTGTAATTCTATTTGAGCAAGTTGGAGGCTTAGTTAGCCTTCCAAACCAACCAAATTTCTGCATTCGAGTCTTAACCATATTTAAGTGTTACTGTGGCTTCAAAGAAGCTATCGATTCTGAAGTAGTGGGTTTTGATTGAGTTGACTGTTTTTAAAAAACTGTTTGGATTTTAATTGTGATGCAGAAGTTATAGTAACAAACATTTGGTTTTGTACAGACATTATTTCCACTCTGGTGGATAAGCTCAATAAAGGTCATATCCCAAACTAGTTTTAAACCTGCTTACTGAACGTGTCTCCTAGGTCTCATTCTTTGCTCACTAAACAGTCCATCTGCAGAGCAACAAGTCATAGCCAATTTTGTCATATGAGCTGTTAGGACTTGCATGAGGAGCCATGCTGTATTTGTCCTGTGGACAGTTACAGTAACGTGGGACAGCTGGACTGTGGAGACCCTCGGGGTATAATGAGATAGCTCTGCAGGATGAGCTTGAGATGCGGAAGATAATCATGTTTTCAGTGACCAGACACTGCTGCGAAGTGTGGAATGCTCGTCATGGGTTGGGGGTGCGCTAATTTCATAGACTAGGGTAACAGGATGACAATATGTTCCTTAGCTTGAGACCCTTCCCTATCCGAGACAGTGCTTGCATGTTACTTCGCGAGCAAAACCAACATGGGAGCAGGAGGTGCCAAACAGCCTGTGTAGGTGAAAGAACCACTTCCTGCTACAGTTACAGCTGATTCTAAGTGACCAAAAGAGCTGCATTGTACCTGCGGCGGCGCAGCAGGAGAGATGTGGGTCAGAAGTGCCACTGGAAAGGGGGTGCTGGGGTGGCGGTGGCTCATAGCCTTAGCCGCCTAAGTCGCGCCTGTGGGACCCGTACCGCAATGCTCGTGGGACCCGTACCGCAATGCTCCCGGTACCAGGCCCGAGGCCTCTCCAGACCTATAGGCCCAGGGGCGGGGCCTCTGGTCCTTGGGAATGGAAAGTGCGGGTCCCCTGTCCCCGCCCCGAGGGCGCGGGAGGCGGGCTCCGGGGCTGCGCCTGGGGTTAGGGGCCGGTCTCCCCTCCTTCGCCCGGGCTACCCGCTCTGGCCGGCTACGGCCGCCGGGACCCGGAGTGCGGCAGGCCCGGGAGGGACGCGGCTGGCGCCGCTGTGGCAGCGGGGGGCGGGGAGGCGGCCGTGAGGAGGCGGAGCTGCGAGGCCGCCCGTCGCCGGGCCGCCGCCGCCGCCGCCGCCGCGGTGCCCGCTCCTCCCCGCGCCGTGCCGCGCCCCGCCCGCCCGGCCGCCTCGCCTCCTCCGCGGCGGGCCCCCCTCGCAGCTGCGCGGCCGGCGACACCGAGGAGGCGCGAGCCATGGAGGGCAACCGCGACGAGGCGGAGAAATGCGTGCAGATCGCTCGCGAGGCCCTGAGCGCCGGCAACCGCGACAAGGCCCAGCGCTTCCTGCAGAAGGCCGAGAAGCTGTACCCGCTGCCGGCCGCGCGCGGTGAGCCCCGGCCCCCGCCGTGACCCCGGCCCCCGCGCCCTCCGCCCCGCGGGCCGCGGCCGCTCCAGCCCTCGGGGGACACCGGCAGGGCGCAGTGGGGTGCTGGGTGACGGGTCCCCTCCCCCGACCAGCCTAGGCCCCTGTGAAGTGACAGGAGCGGGACTCTAGTGGCTTATCGGGCTTCACCATCCCTGGGCTCTGTATGTAGCCTTTCCTTAAGTATCTTCGAATACCTTAGATGACACTGCTTTTCCCGGGGAGAGGGAGAGAGCCCTTTACAAGACAGCTCCACTTTTGACAGGGATGGTGAAGTTATTAATTTCTAGTGTCTGATTTGATATGACACCGTAAGTACCCGCAAGTTCGGTAAATCGCTGAAGAGTAGGGTTTGGACTTACCCACTTTAATTCTCCTTATTCATTGTCTAACTCTCTAGGCTTCGAGGTAATACAGTCCACACAACACTCCCAAAGCGCCCAGAGTTGTGCCTAGTATTTTATAGGACCCTCATTTATTCCTCCAAACAGTCCCATGTACAGGTATGGGATTATTTGACCAGGTTAACCCATGTGCAGAGACTCTGACAAATGAATAAATGAATGAAAATACCTTGCTCAAGGTCGTACAGAAAGTGGCAAAGTCAGAAGAGTAGCCGAGTTTTATCTCCAAAAGGTCTTTATTTAACTGCTACTGTTTGCCTCTCCGATGGGGAGATATTTTACTGTGGTCTCAAGTATTTCCAGGTTAAGAGAATTAAGAGGAAACTTAATAAACAGGGCCTCTGTTTGACTTGACTGTTTTCTTCATTCTTTCTGCATTGCTGAAGCCTTTTGCTTCTGTGCTTTTCGCTTTATCTTTTTGTTGCATTGGTTTAGGACAGGAAAAGAGTGAAAGAAAAGTTCATTTTAATCGTAGAGAGTGCAACATAAGATTTGTTATTCTGATCCTTCTTAGGTGTACAGTTTAGTGGTGTCAAGTATTTCCACCTGGTGCGCCATAGGCTCTGTGCTTTATCTTACACCCTGGATACTGGACCAGTTAAATAGCCCCCGTTACTCTCCAGCTCTCGGCAGCCCCCATTCTGATATCACTCTGTATAGATTAGACTAATTGGGTACCTGATCTAAGAATACTCTGTATGCCTGCCTTATTTCACTTGATAACTTCATATTTCATCTGTATTGCAGTATTCGACAGATTTCTTTCTTTTTCCTTTTTCTTTTTTCTTTCTTTTTTTTCTTCTTTTTCTGGATTTTTGAGACAGGATTTCTCTGTCACAAGAACTCACAGAGATCCACCTGCCTCTGCCTCCCAGTTGCTGGGATTAAAGTCGTGCGCCACCACCGCCAGGCCAGATTTCCTTTAAAAAAAAAACGCTAAAGAACATTTTATTATTTACATACACACGTGCATTGGTGTGAGTGTGCACATGCACATTCAAACATCACATTTTCTTTTTGGGGAGATCTTATTGTGTGTGTGTGTGGGGGGGTGGAGTGTGTATGTGTGCGTGTGCCATGACGTGTGCGTGAGATCCAGTGACACCTTGTAGAGGAAAGGGTCTCTCTACACATGTGGGGACAGAGCACCGGCCTGAGCCCTCTCATTGACCACCACGGGGTATTTGTTCACCTGTCAGTGAGCCTTGGGTTCCTTCCCATCCTGTACTGTGAGCTGTGAGTGATGCTCCTACCAGCACGAGTGTCTACAGACCTGCTTTCAGTTCTGCGTATATACCCAGAAGTGGGGTTATTGGGTTATGGAGTAGTTCTAATTTTGTTTTTTGAGGAACCACCACATTGTTTTCCAGAGCAGTTGCACCATTTTGTGCGACATACACGGGGGTTCCAGTTTCCTAGTGCCTGATTGAACACAACACTCCCAGTTTGTTTGTGTTTGTTTTGATAGTGACTGTAGCGTGATGATAGCTCACTGAGGTTTTGATTGCATTTTCCCTGATGATTAATGATGTTGGACAATTTTCATGTGTTTATTTGGTCATTTGTATATTCTTTGGAGATTTATATATTCTCTTAAGTTGCTTGCCCAGTTAAAAATCAGACTGTTTTCGTTGATATTGCTGTGGGACTCTTTATATATTTGGGGCATTAACTCCTTGACATCTCCACCTTGCAGCTCTTCCCTTTCCTTCCGCAGGTCATCCCCCCCCCCCCCCCATCAGTCTCGTGTGTCAGTCTTCGCTATGCTGTCTGGGCTTCTGGTGCCATGTCCGAGAACTCATTGACACAAATTATTCTCGCTTCTCTTCTACTATGTAAATAGATTGCAGCTAGCTGTCATCTGGTGCTGGAGGAGCAGTTCTAACAGTAAAGAAGCAGAAACTCTAGGCCAGGTCACCTGCTTTGCAGGCCTGGTTCTTCACCACCCAGCTCCCTTACTCAAGGTAGACAGACTCTTGTGTTTGGCCTTTCGTGTGTGCAGCAGGGACAGTGTACGGATCCCATGGTACTCCGAGGACAAGAACGGGCTGCGAAAAAGCATCAAGTACATTTTGACTATCCTCTCTGTTTCACAAGTGAAACCATCTCGGCATCCTTAAAGCTAGCTCAGATTTACAGCGGGTCATGCTTCTATCATGTGAACAGCTAGGATGGATCTCCTAACGGACACTGTAAAAGTACAGCGTTGTTATTGCTCTGAAAGCCATGGGTATGGGAACAATGGAGAAATGGAGGAGAGAGTCAGGGCGAAAAATATCAACAAGGATGCTGGGTAATTATCAAATAAAGTGGTAGGGTGTAGTCATGGAGTAGTCTAAAAACAGTTCAAATGCAGACTTCGTCGTCTGCTGTCTCTATAACCAGGGGCAAGATATTTAGCTATTCTGAGCTTTAATTATATGCAAAATGAGGATGTCATCACAGAGTTGATGTGACCCAAAATAAAGCAGTGTGACTGTTCTGTGAAAAACTGTCCTTTAGAGTATTCCTAGGAGATGTTTATGGGAGTTAAATAAGACCTCAAGCGAGAGAAGCATCTGGAATGTTCTTGAAGGACCCTGATAAAGGTTCTGTATGGGGGAAATTGGAGCTTTTGAGCGATGACTACCAACAACTCAGGAAGTTGACTGGATCGTCTTTGGATCTGCTTGTACTATGGCAAAAGAAAATATTGTGTTTTCCTTTCCATTATTCTTATGATGAGTAGGGAGCCACAAGATTAAATTCTAGTTATGCTCCAGGATTTTTGTCCTCTTAGGATTTCCTATCGAGTAAGAAGGTAATCTCATAAAACACATTAATAAACTGGCAACTGTTTTCCTTGTTGAAAAGTTTGATATTGAGATGAATGAAAGACGCTATCGCTTTCCATGTTTTAGTTGAGACCATTCTTCAGACTTCATTCAGATGCTCACCTCGGAGTTACCTTTGTATGCTTGCGTAGTCGATGTGGGTTAGCATTGGGTAGAAGGATAGAGTGCCACCACTCTGAGGCTTTGTTCGCATTGTTGTCGTTTTAATCTGTTTTTATTTTGTGTGTGTGAGTGTTTTGCGTGAATGGGCCCACGGAGATCAGAAGAGGTCATCAGATCCCCTAGGCCTGGATTTAAGGATGGTTTGTGAGCCATTATGTGAGTGCTGAAACCAAACCCAGGTCCTTTAGCAAAGCAACAAGTGCAACGAACCACTGAGTCATCCTTTTGGCCCCACACATTGGTGTTTCAAGTTTTAGATTTTCAGAGTAATTGGAGGATAGTTTGAAGTGTAGATTTTTTTCTTTTTTATTTATTCTCCTTCTTTTCCTTCCTTTTTCCCCCCCTTGGTTTTTTGAGACAGTAGGATTGTCTCTGACTCCCAAGTACTGGGATTATATGTGCACTGCTACCTCCTGACTCTTTTTTTCCTTTTAATGAGGTAGATCTCGCTATGTATCTTCAGCTGGCCTAGTTCTCACTATGTAGACCTTGCACTCAGAGACACACCTGCTGCTGCCTCCCAAGTGCTAAGATGAAGGCATGTGTGCACAACCTTGTCTGGCTAGTATAGGTTTTGTTGTTGTTGTTTGAGAAGAGCATTTTTATTCTTTTCAAGAACGTGGTAGCAGTTTGACTCAGATGATGGCATACAACCAGAGAGAAGCCCATTCAGCACCCACTGTAGTGAGTGAACAGATACGTTTAAGTGCGTGGATAGTCTGTACATGCTACCCGCTTAATACCAGTTACAGTAATCCTTTAGTTTATTTCAGCCATGGGAGAGGTGATGCAGATTTCTCTGCTTTTTTTTTTTTTTTTTTTTTTTGTCTTGTTACTTTGTATTTAAAACAGAACTGAAAGTGTTCCTGCTCTTGTCTCACCTAAACTGGTAAGGTTTTAAGCATCATGTGTAACCTTATCATTATACATCCTATTTTCTTTAAAAGTATCCCATTCTTTTCCTAATTGGCTTAATTAAAATTCAGTGATGATAACATTTAAAACAATTATTTCTGTATCATTCAGTGAAGTGTTAGGAAATGACTTCCGAATTTCCACTGGTAGTGAGACTGTTTCAGATGTTGGCGCTGAGGAAAGGGAGTTGAGTTTGGGTCTGAACTTTGCCTTAGATAGAAATCTTCACTCCTGAGCTGCAGTTTTCTCATCCAAACAGTGAGAGTTTATTCAACAGATAGTTATGACCACACGCTTCTCTGTGCCATGCAGAGTTTTGTTTTATTTTGATTTTACATGTTTGGATTTTTTTTTCCTGCCTGTATGTCTGTGCACTGTGTGTGTGATTGGTGCTCTCAAAGGTGGGAGGAGGGCATTGAATCCCCTTGAACTGCAGTTACAGACACTTGCGAGCTGAGCCATCTCCCTAGCCCAGACAGTGTTTTAGGTGCTAGGGAGTAAGTAGATAATGTGGCAGAAATCTTCTTCCATGGCATTTCCGTCCCAGATGAGAGCGGAGTGACTGATGGAAATGAGGGTGATGGTGTGATTTCTATAGTTCCGAGTTCCTTTTTCTTTTTCTTGAGGTAGGATCTAACTGCCAACTCTC